TTTATTTTAGAATCAAATAATAAAATTATTAATTTCTTGTTGTTTAACTTGTGGAAATCACTAACTTGTGTGATTGAGGATAACGAATTATAATTGAGAAACGTGGCTGTTTACAATTTTGTCCTTTAAATTAATTAATCACTAATTAATCAGTATATTTATAAGCCTTAAATGTAAGTGTATGAAAAGTGTGCGGCTCGACAAAGAGGCGAAAATTCTCGAGAAACAAATGAAACATATCTTATTTTGCGCGTTTTATATTTATGTATTCGTCAAATTTCAAGATGGGGATTTATTTATAATTTAATAAGTCGCATATTTTGCTGTACGTGTGCATTTCAACGTATAGCTCATTTATACGCGCACGATTTTTCAATTTTTGAAATATTCTATGGAATTCCATTGTGAATTTTGACGCAAATCGCGAATCGTTCAAAGACTGCAGGACGCGAGAAAAAAATCGTAGGAAATTGAATTGGAGCGCCTGTCGAGATTACGAGCCTCAGCATCCCAGATGGCGCGTCGCGTTCATCTCGTTGCATAGATTTCAAGTTCGCTATCTTACGCGGGTGAAAAGAAAAAAAAAAGCGATTGATGAACCGAGTCCGCTGTGCTCTCGCGACCGCTATAAGCTGTTTGATAATTCTGTTAAACAGCACCGTCAAAGTCCCGGTTCACGGAGTCCCTTTAATCGCGCGTAACTCCCGGAGTAACTCCCTTCCTGCGAAACGCTTTTTTTGTTTCTCGTTAATCGCATTAATCGCTCCGATATTGAATTTGAATATGCAGTAGTCGAACTCCAGTTCAGTGGAAATCGCTGTTAAAGTTCCGTGAGCAAGCAATCGTAAATAACGAGGATTAACCTCCGGCATGTCGGCGTCCGAAACGGCAGTGATTTTTGCGAAGTTAGAAGCTTTAAAAGACATTAGGTATGAGGACGCAGTCTCGTTTGACACTTGTCTTTTCATACATTGCATAAGAAATTTATTCGACTGGGTGTTTCATTTTGTTGTGCTCCTCACAGGTCAAAGACCCTTCAATTGGAGAAACTGAAACAGAGAATATTGCAAGAGGTGGAACAGACTGAACAGGAGGAGAAATGTTTATTAGAATACAAGCAGGAGATGGATTTGCTGATGCAGGAGAAAATGGCACACGTAGAGGAATTACGTCAGATACATGCAGACATCAATGCGGTGAATTGCATTACTTGGTTTTTGTTTCCACAAGCAAAGGTCTGTTTTTTATAGCTGAGCTAGTATATATACGCTTTTGGAACTTGTGAAGTGAAATAGAGATTTATTTGATATTTAGCTAAAGTAAGAAAAAATTATATTGTGGTCTAGTGCAGGAATAAAGAACAGACCCCAAGATAGAAACTATTCCAAAATTTACTGTCAGTTGAAAATTTATAGTTTATTTTACATGTACTTTAGAATTATATTATACATTGAAAGTCTATACTTTAAGATAGTTTCATTACTAGATTTGTTCTTTTTAGCTGAATTTCTTGAAATAGTTTATCTTTTCTCTTTGCCTCTCCAACATAAAAAGAGAGAAAAATTACCTACGCAATTTAGCTAAAAAGAATAAGCCTTATGGCAGTAAATTTTGAAATACAATCAAAATATAATTGTATGGAATATATTGGAATTATATAGAATCTTAATAATAAAGTTTACTTTTGATTAGATGGAATCAGTGATCAAGCAAGCAGAGGAAGCACGTAACAGGGCGAGGGAAACTGCTAAACTAATTCATAACAATGATTATCAACCACTGAAACACGACATTGATCGTATGCGCAGAGAATTCTTGGGTTTGGAAAGGTTACCAGAGTTGTACGAAACTGAATCGGATCTTATCTCCCCTGAGTAAGTACCTTTACTATCACGAAGCTGTTGAAGATCAGCAGTAAGAGTGATGCACGTAGTATCAGCCAATAAGTGGAGATTGACATTATGGACTGAGCTGAGTCAAACTTTTATTGTGTAGACGGTTTGTTCATAGTTACTTTGAACGTCCAATGCAAAAAGCGGAATGGAGAGTAGAAGTACGAGGTGATGACTTGTTACCACCACTTGGACTACACCATCCTGGACATCCAGGTGGTTCTACACCTTTCTTAGCTCCGCAACCGCTTCAAGGGCCGAGTAAACCAGAGCCTAGACCATTACCGCCAGCCCCAGGGCCGCCTGCTCCAACATTCAGGTACCACTGGTATATCTCGTCCCCTTATTATATTTTTTATGTAAAATTGAAAATATTACTTGTTACCAATTTTGTAATATAATATTTCTATCGCTTTACAGGCAACAACCGCCGCCTATGAAGTCTTGCCTTTCGTGCCATCAACAAATTCATAGGAATGCACCAATTTGCCCACTTTGCAAAGCAAAATCGCGATCGCGTAATCCTAAGAAACCAAAGAAGAAAGATTAATTATAATTCTATGACTATTTGTATGAATAATCCGCATTTCTACAATTCATGTTAAGAAAAGACATGTATTAATCATTTTTATAATCCATAGTAACCATGCACTCTTATCGTATCATTAGCATTTATAAGTGATAGCACAGCATTTATGAGAATCTATATGTTTATATAATGTGTCATTTTTTGAAGACAGCTTTTTTTAGTATTAAAGATTTTATTGTATTCACGTATGTTATGAATATATAAGAAGAATGTAAGAAAAGATAGAAATCAAATAATTTCTACTATAATTAGAGAAATAAAAATAAAAATCTAATATTTGACAATTAGTTTAATTTATCTTTGTCTATATCAAGTATTGAGAAATTTATGTATTAGTGTATTCTAACAATTTTCGTTATTGTTAAAATAAATTAGAAAAGAATTAGTATTTACAAAGAAGGGCAATATATATACAAATTATTTATTATAACTTTATATTCACCACTTTATTTTCATTAGTCATAAAATATAATAATGTAAATACCACATACAGTTTTATTTGTTATTAAACATATTTAAATTATTTTCAGTGTATACAAATATTAGAAAAATATACCTTAGTATATATAGGCAACACTGAAAATTTCTATAAATGCATAAATGAAATAATTCTTTATTATTTCATGAGAAATACATATATTAATCTTTCACTTTTATATACTTCTCTTATGTAATGAAAGTATTATTGTACCGGATTTATAACCAAATATTAACTTTTGATTGCCGTTTCTGCAATGTTAACAATTTTTTGATCATCCAAATATTTGTTATTAATTGTCGAGTACAATAAAAAATCTATATGAAACGTTTGAACATGTCATCTTCCAAAAACTTTTAGTGTTACCTATATATTATCTTAAAATATTGCATCTTTAAAAAAATATTAATCATTGATTTATGGATTTAATTGCACTTTGAAAATATATATAGCTCATATTTCTTTTTATAATAACGCTAATTATGTTCTAAAATTTACTATATTTTATTGAAGTTTTTCAACTATTTGCCAAAACTAATATATTTAATTATGAGTTTTTAAAGATAAATGTGAATTATTTATATCACAATTTTTCACAGTATTGTCTTTTGAAGTATTTATTAGGAAATTAAACAGTAGTTAGCAGTAATATCTATTGCTGTGTAATATCAACTATTTATTTCTTAATGTAAAACAATTTTATAAAATTTTAATTAGGTCAGTCTTTGCTCTTCAAGCTATATGAAAAAGTAAAAAGTAGACTGTACCTCTTTTACACTCTTGCATTGATTCATGTTGCATTTATGTTAAACTTATATAAACAATTAACATAATATACAATTTATAAATGTTACAATCTCATGAACATTCCAACATCTAAATGTATTTTGAACAAAAATGGTTATTGTACTAGTAACAAAATACTTTTAAGAAAAAATTCAATTCGTCAATAAGTCTTTGATAATTGCTTAATACACAATCAAATTTCATATCACCTGCTATTTACTACGATTTGATTTATTTGTATATATATATATATATATATGTTCTTTTTAGCTGAACTTTGCAAAGTTCATCTTTCAATTTTTACTTTAACGTAAAAAGAAAAAAAAAGATAAATCATATAAGAAATTCAGCTAAAAAGTCTACATTTCAGAAAATATAATGGCGCTCTTCTATGTTATTCTATTATTTGTACATGATTCGAATTCTTAAATATAATCATAATATAAATTTTAATCTTCAAAAATGATAAACATAATTTTAATATCTAGACGAGCATAAGTATATAAAAATGCATATAAAATACAGATTAGACATTTACTTTTTTGTGCTATTTTCTGTTTTGCAATCAATTAAAATGCTGGAGGAGTAGATTTCAGTGTATGTAAAACTTACAATTTTTATGTTAGTATTTATCTGTACACGCACACGTGCTATTCTCCTTAAAAATATTAAGCACTATAGTATCAAAAATATATCCTAATAATTATTCAATATTTCAAAGTTATAATTTCTCTTCAAGCAAAAAATAATGGAAGAATAGTTCACGAATACCATTTGCATTACCTATGGCAAGTTTTCATCGTCTTCATAATCCAAATCTCATTAACATTTAATGTCATATTATAATTAATCATTATCATATTGTAATATGACGATATAATCAATATAACATTAGTGAATTTAAATTTATATAAAAAATTTAATAAAATTGTGTCACTAGAAAGTTTTGAGCACTTTTATGAACAATTTCTTTATTATTATTATCTCAGTATTGTTATACTTATAATTATTCTGAGACTATCTATTTTTTGATCATATTTAGCATGTAACTGTATAAAATTTTTATAAAATATCTATACATTTAAAAAATGTAATAGTAATTTGTATAAACATTTATAAAAAATATAAATTAATTTGCATTATCTAAACAACGTTTGTAATGTTTATATAAAATTTATTGCACATTGCACAAAAAGATAATTTTTTCCGCCAAGACAACTTGAATTATCACAATTACGAACTGATGTTCCGTTAATTATACAGTTTCACGCGATGTTTGAGTATTATCAGATCTTAAATGAACTAATGGAATTTCGACATCTTTTTCTTGTTTGTTCGGCACTTCATTGCCTTTCTTTAGCTCTGGTGCAATCAAACGTTTATTTACAAGTTGTAACCACAACATAGAAACGATTAGCATTACGCCAGTGATACCAAAAGTATGATATGTTCCTAAGCGAGTATAAATGAAGCCTACAAATACCGGACCTAAAACGCGAGACGCACAACCCGCACCTGTCATTAAACCCATCCACACGCCTTGTGGACGCGGACCGAGAATTTTGCTAAATATAGTTTGCATCAAAGTAACTCCTATAGGATAACCTATAGATGTAAAGGCGTAACCAATCAAAAATTGAGTAATCGTGATTTGCGGAGTATATAGGCACCATTCTTGAGTAATAGGGCATCCTACGATTTCTGTACCATTGGCATCTGTCGTGATATTATTATATGCTACAAGATATTGAAGCACTTTCATTATAAAGTTGTCATAATACGCATAAAGAAATCTATGTTTTAGTATATATGAGATATAAAAATATATAACTTTTAAAAATATTTTTTTATTTAATAGAGAGATAGATACTCACGTCCAAAATCTCCAATTATAGGAGGATCTGGGCCCCATGGGATACATAGTACTCGTCCAATCACCATAAAAAAGAATCCACCCCATAACATTACTTTACGTTCTGCAAATCTATAAAGAAGTACGTATTTTTTTTAATAGCATATATAAAATGAAAGATATCATTTACTTATAAATCATAAACGTTATATAGCGATAAAATAATATTTTTATATTGTTTAAATATTAGTTATTTATCCTAAAAAGATTGTAATTTCATCATAATATAATTACTTTTTACAAAGTGGTCCAATCATAGTAAATGTAATACAGGCTATCACAGCTCCAACGCTCATTAGGATTCCCATATAATATAGCGCTTCCTTTTTAGTCCAAGCAAATTGATCCATGGTAAGAGAAGTACCAAGACTACACGAAAAAAGATGACATATATTTGTTAACTAAAACTTTTTATTTAGTAAACCAAGATTTCAATCGATGATCTTAATTTTAATATTATTTTACAATAGACTCACATTAACGTTTTTAAATTAACAATTAAAATATCAAATTTTTTTTTAAATCAAGTTATTAGTTTTGCTTTCTTAAATAAAATATAAATTTTCAATTATTCTCTCTCTTCCTCCTATTTTAATTATTTTCAATTGTTTTTTAATTATTTTTAAACAAATATCAAAAAATGGATGCACTTACGTCTCAAGAAGAACAAAATTAAAAACCAAAACAAAGAATCCACAAATTAAAGTCCATGAAGCCAAATAGTCCGGTTTTATGGCTTTCCACGTTTCTTTTTCTGCAAATGCAATAAATTCTATTATTATGTATGTATGTATGTATGTATGTATGTGTATATATATATATATATATAATTTAATTGAGACTTGGAAATAAAATCATGGAGCATATCCAAGATATATATGTAAATATGTAATATAAAAATGGAATGAGAAATTAATTCATTATGATCAATCTTTATGAATTATTAAAATTTTTTTAAATTACATCAAACTTAAAGATTAATATAACAAAAATATTATGAATTTATTACATACCTGTAGCTTTACCTTCATCACGCATAGCTTCTTTTATTGCAATTTTATGCTCCTTAAAGTTCCATGGTAATAAAAAGATAAAATTAAAAATTCCCATTATTACGTTAATCCAACCAGCTGCTGTGTACATGTTTAAAGGTAGCATCAGAAATGTTACACCATGATCTCCAAGAGGTGTTACAGCAGCCTGCAATCCAGGACCCACCACAAAACCTAGGACCTAAATGTATTGCTTTTTTCACATGTATTCATTCAATACACTTATTTAATTATATTCTTTATAAAAATATATAAATTTTTAGCAAAGTATTAAATCATTTTATTATCATTATTAAATTAATAAATATAACACTTTAAAAAATTATAATATAATTGTTTTATCTATTACATCTTTTAACATAAAATACAATAACAAAAAATTACCTGTGCTAGGGATACCATAGAAACTGCATGTGTGCGTTCTGAAAGTTTTGTGGCTGCAGATAGATAAGATCTTGCTACAGCAATATTAGCTGCAAGAAATGACATATGTTTACAACTAATTCAAAATCAAAATACCTTAAATATATATATAAGAGTTAATATGATATAAAAATTAGAAAAGAACTTACCAGAACTAACGCCAACGAAAAATCTGGCAACAAGCATGTAATTCTTTTTATCACCAGGTATCATTTCAAGAATACTATAAGCTGCTGATGAGATAGTAAACAATGCTAAAGTTACTAAAAGCGGCAATCTTACTGATCCTCTTTTATTGCCCCACCAACCTACCAGAGGTGAAAACAACATTTGTCCAAGTGGATTAGCTGCCACTACGTAACCCATAAATTCTTTTCCTGCAGTAGGATCCAACTGAAACATATACACATGTATGTTTAAGTATATATAATCATAATTTTTTTATAACTTTATTATCAATACATATCTTGGTCATGTATACTACACACCTTGCCTAAATACGGCCAAACTCCAGTAAGTATAATACTGAAGCCAAGTGACATTAAGAACATAGTAAAATAAATTGTGTAGATACTCCTCCATCTTTCTTTTCTTTCAAGTTCAGTCTCTAAATTGTCAATAGGTAGTTCAGTTTGTCTAAAAAAATCAATATCTTATGTTTGTATATATACACAAGGTGTCCCGTAAATTTTTACTAAGCGTTTTTGTGTAGATACAGCGGACTAAACTGAGTCGAAAAGTCCTCTACCATTTTGCAATTTTCGTAATGGTTAACGAGATATTAATTACTAAAAATCGCTGAATATTGGTCTTCAATAATTTTTTACTCAAATACTATCAACTTTACAGAAAAACAGCGAGAGACAAAAATTACTTATTTTCTTCTAATAAAGTTCTGAGAATTTTTTCAAAATTTTTTAATATCATATTTTCTCGTTGGTAAAAATAAGAAAATGCAGTGCAGTAAAAAGTTGAGTAAAAATTCTGAAAAAATTCTTAGAGTTCTATGAGAAGAAAATTAATGATTTTTGTCTCTTGCAGTTTTTCTGTGAAATTGATAGTATTTGAGTAAAAATTATTGAAGACTAATATTTGACAATTTTTAGTAATTAATATCTTGTTAACTATTGCGAAAATTGCAAAATGATAGAGGACTTTTTGATTCAATTTAGTCGGTTCTATCTACACAAAAGCGCTTGGCAAAAACTTACACCTTGTATATTCATCTGCAGAAAAAATACATTAGGTATTTTATATTTAATGGTATTACATGTATTTCCAGTTAATAAAATTACTCTGGCTTTATTTGTAACATTAATATCTCTAATAATCAATAATAAAAATTTTTAATAAAATTACCTTTTGACGAAAAATTTCTTAAGACGATCCATTAAAAAAACGTTTTGTACTATCTTCTTCTACATTTAAAGGATTGAAAATTTGTTGTACAAATCTCAATGGTACAAATTTCAGCACCCTTACAAAGCATCAATATACAACACAAACCACCAACCTATTACATAAATAAAGAGAAATATGAAATTAAGTGTTTATATTAAAATTATATTGCACATAATTCTATCAATAACGAAATATGAAGGTATATTTAAATCTCTGCGTTTATATTGAGTTGAGGTTAACATAATAATAATGCTAATTATGTACATAACAAAAAATATAAAATAGATGTAATATAGACAAAATGCTCTAAGTTTGTATCTTAAGATAAGAAACTGTCTTTATATACATAGCTTAATAAAAGTGCTTTTAAATAATAATTATTAGAAAAAAAATAAACAGAAAACTCAGTGTTTTAATGTTGGTGCTAATGAAGCTTAAGATGTACTGCAACGTATATGATAGGAAACATTACAGTGCCTCTTGATAAGAGATAACAAATTGAATGCTGTTGACAGATTAAGTTTTCAGTTATCTTTAATGAGAAAGAATGGATAAAAATAAATATTTTTTAGAAGTCAAATTTTTATAAATATGCACATTTTTTATTTCACATATTTCTTATAGCTTATACATATTTTGATAAAATAATTCATATTCTATTTTTATTTTTTACAATTTATATATCTACAATTAAAATAATTCATTTTCATCTTGTAACAACATTAGATATTTCTATATTACTTTATAAAAATTAAACAAATAAAAATATCCATGCTAAATAAATTGGATATTATTACAAACTGAAAGTCACAACAAAGTATCATTATATACTTAAAAGTCACAAGATAAACACATGACAATGTATGTTGAGTATGTATAAGCATGTAAAATATTTTCACAGATAAGAATATAGTTGTAATATAAATTGCGTTAGAATATATACCTAATTAGTAATAAATATTTATGTACAATAAGAAAAAGAAGACATAATTTTATTGAGAAAAACATTAAGGAAAAATTTAATAGATACTGTAAAGCAGAGAGAGAGAGGGAGAGGGGAGAGAGAGAGAGAGAGAGAGAGAGAGAGAGAGAGAGAGAGAGAGAGAATCAAAAATTCTGTGAAAAATAATGGAAATACAAAAATAATCTAAGAGTAACAAAGAATACATAAATATCAATTAAATTTTTTGTTTAGAATGAACGTTCGGAGCGTTTATAAATATTGCGTCACATTGTTCTCCAATTTTATGTACTTACGAAATTATTATGTAGTTTTTGTCCTAACATATGTATTTTATCTATTAATAGTTGCAGGCGTTCAAGCACTTTTATCGCTGCATCTTACTATCTTCACTGTCGTTCTGTTAATTATATTGAAGATTCTGAGAACGAACTCGTATATATCGCCGAAGCAATCTTTTGTCAAAAAGTTCTGCAAGGTCTCCTTTCCCTTTCTTTCAGGCGACGCTGTTTTTCTTGGTCACTTAGTTAGTAAACGGTGAATCACGCTCTTTCATTATTCAATTAAACTCGATGTCACGATAAGCGAATTGCTGACTCGACAAAATAAAAGAAAACACGTGCGATATTCAACAGCTGATTTTGTGAGGGATCAACAGATTCCATTCTTTACGAATCAATCGGAGGATGCTTTGGAATGCATCAAAAGGATGTAGGTGTATCTCGATCCCTTGTCTTTCCCATCTAGAAAATAATACTTTTGCGACTTTCGTTGCGAGATGTATGTATGTATATACATACTCATGCACCGATTTGCACTCTTCTCTCATTCAAGATAAGATGATTTGAGCGACAAAATAAGATGATTTTATGGGTCTGTTCTTTTGTAGACACCAGTAGACACACTCGCGGTAAGAAAAGATAGTATTTCTTATTTTGACGAGTTTCGGAACACGGCGGTCAACCAGGTCAACAGCTAGCTGTACTCACAGTACCGGCCGTAATATAAATAATCCGATGTCGGAGGGAACAGAAGAAAAGTGTAAAGCAAATGCAAAATAGATTTATCATTTTTTTTTTGTAATTTTGGAATGGTTTTATCCTTCTTGTTTTAATTGCTTTGGTCTGAGTATTACATTATTAATTTTTGATCGTTTCTGTCCATCTTTGATCAAGTTTCCAATCCGTGTGCATTTATATTCCATTTACCTCAAAAATTTATTTCGTACATATACGTTATATTAGAACACTAGAATATAGGTATTCGCATCCTCTACTTTTAGTCCTTTCCCCGCTCTTTGTTTTCTTTTCACCCTTCTCTCTTCTCTCCTTCAATTTTTCTCAGCTTAGCGGCGGAGTGGGAAGAGAGCAAGGAATTGAGGAAAAGAGCAAGACAATGAGAAAAGACTGAAGAAAGGACTAAAAATAACAGGGGAACCCTCGATCATTTTCTCTGATCCTTTATTTACGGTTGAGTGAGTAAATACAAAAAGATATTCTTTCCATTATACTGCTAATTCTATTCACTGTAAAAACAGAATGACATTTATAGTGACAACGGTCTAGCATTTTACAAAACAACGGTCGTACAAAAAATGTTGATTAACATGGAATGTCATATGACATGGAAGATTTATGCTGCACCCTACAGCTTTAAACTGCTTTGAACAAGACCGCTACAGACCACTACAGACCGGCTACAGACTTGCCCAGACAGCCATCCTACGTTCTAATAACCACCGACGAGATATTATTACAGACCGTTAACCCTGGGCAAATTTTCGGCGGTATAGGAAAGGGCCCGAAGGTAATTCAAGAACGCTGACATTACCGACAATTGATATAAATTTGCTATTATTGACATAAATATTTGGCTCATACATTATTAAATTAAAAAGATTTTTTATTACATAAATGTCCCATAAATAAATATACATACTTGTAAAGCTGTAATATCCTATATATTGCAAAAAAATCACAATTTTTTCTCTTCAATTTTTTTTTTTATCATCTTTATTGATAATCAAACTTTGACGATATATAACACTGAAATCTCAATTTTAAAGAAAAATCGAGTATTATTGAGTTATAAATGTATAAATATATCTACTAAACTAATAAATCCTAAAATTAGTACAATATTATCAGTTTTTAACTCTTAATCACTTCAATATTCACAAGGACGCGAACTCCCGTAAGGATGTCGGTCTTTAACAGTATCTCGTCGGTGTGATAACTTTGAGCTCTAGATTTACAAAAGTAGCGCAAACTGCCCGCCATTTTTGATCTGCTACAGTACGGTGCGAAATATAAATGAGATATAGGTCGGTATTCATAGTCAGATCTTATATTCAAGTCAGTCTTAAGTATGGTCTTAAGAAGTCACGAACCAATCAGAGGGCTGCATTAGAGTCTTAAAGGTCGCGACACACACTCTTGCATAACGTATAATACATAGTGCATAATGGAATCAACCAATCGAAATTCTTCTTTTCCATGGAATGAGAGGAAAGGAAAGCTTCTGATTAGTTGATTCG